CTAAAATTTGTCCTCAAGAGATGTATATAATAATAATATTGCTATGTTGTAGGCTAAAGCTAGTAAGGGTGAATTCAATATAGTTCCATACATCACTCATTGTGTCTTGGATATTATATGTGGTAAGGTTGTGTGGTAAAACTTTTCATATGTTTCCGAAGTTCTGTGCATACATTTAGATGAGAAACAAAAATTGAGAGAATGTATATATGAACTGGGTATGGCGAAAATCATGAAATATTTGAAATAAAATAAAAATTGAATATTTTTGAACTGACTGAAACTATTATTTACTTGTTATCTCTCGCGCCAAAGCATTATGCGTTGATTCTTCGTGATCAAATATAACTATAAGTTTGTCAAAAATTATCATAAATTATGCTGCATTGCATTTTTCAGAAACGTCCATGGGTTTTGATATCAAATCTCAATTTGGTAGAAATTCTGAATATACCGAAGCTGTATTAAGGTATTCATGTTTAGTGGTTTTATTTGGGGCAATATTTCTATAAATGACTCGCTTACTGCTCAATACAGTACCAGGTGACTTGCGCTAAGCCGGCAAAACAGAGTTGCAAAAAATCTGCGGGTACGCGGGTACCACTCAGAGAAAGGTTTGCTTTGAATGAGGTTTGTGAGGAAGGTTCAAAGTTGAACACTCTAAATTATTGATCACATACATGAACCAAAAAACAAATATTTCTTTATGCTGGTTGCCACTTGACTCCGTGACGTAACGTCATTTTGAGGAAAGTTTTCAAAACTTAAAATCCTACTGGAGGAAGGTTGAACTCTTTTTGCAACTCTGCCGCAAGATATGCTTTATAAAAATCCACACTAGAGTTCATGCAGTTAAGTTAACCCTTTAGCGGTATATTGCATCCAGAAGCCAATTAGTGTAATTTCCCAGTTTCTTTTCCCGAAGTTACTCTAATGCTTTCAAAATCATAATATGCCTACATGGGGAAGTTTTGTTAGGAAAAATTAATTTTTCGGGTAGACACATGCACCTTGTGAGCAAATAGAGACACTTCCCGAGTTTGTTCTCGGGCAAGGAAAACCATCCCACTAACAATAGATTACATTGCCCGCCTTGTTTCCAAGCTATTGTTTGCAAATTCGGGGAATGTCTATTACAAAAGAAATTAATAATACTGAACGTCAATAGATGAAAATCTCTATATATTTTTGGGCTACTTCGAGGAATATTTTTTTGTTTTTCAGCATGAGTGAACTTGTTCAAGAACGCCAAAAGTCACCATGGCTCTGGCCTGATCTGATATATAATATGACGTCATCTGGAAAGAAGCATCGAAAAAATTTAAATATTCTCCATGACTTTACAAATAAAGTGCGTCATTTTGTTCTTTTTATCAACTTTGGATAAATATTCAGATGGACGAGATTTTTTATAAAGGGTTATAATCGAATACAATGCTCTGCGGTGCATTATTTGGTTATAATTATAGAAAATTCACGGACATAGTATTGTTTACATAGCAATGCACAACAATCTATTGAAAACATAAAAAATACGTCTTTAATTTACCTTTCTTGTTATTAAAGGTGATAAACAAACGCATTCAACAACGAAAGACACAGAAATCCGGAAATCCATGCTCTTCAGATACAACGGCGTTATATTCGCCAAGTAATCGTCCCATTCGAGCATTCTTAGATTTATTACTCGAGGAATACGATCAATCATATTTAACAAAGAAAGATGTCAGGGAAGAGGTGGATACTTTTATGTTTGAGGTATAATTATTTTGTTTCTTTGTATGAAGCCGCTTTTTTGAGGTAATAAAAATTTTTCCCCAAAATTGTTTTTTTCATATGGCAGAAACCTATACGATCTTTCGTATAGGTTTATATTGTGTAAGCTTGCAAAACGTCAATTAAACGAAAATTTTTGGCTAGCGCTTGTTTCAGTATTAATGACTACGAAACCCTGTAAAGGCTTAGCAAGCGTCTTGTTTATATTAAAGGCTCTTTTCCACTCATCGCAAAATCAACTCCCAAGCTCGTTCCGGGTGTTTGCGTCTATTTAAAATGAACTGTCAGGCGTTGTGATTGGATGAGATTACTGGCAGCGAACTTGCGAGTTAGTTTTTGCGATGAGTGAGTGGGAGCCTTAATTGTTTTCACTTCACAGGGGCACGACACAACGTCAGCATCGTTGCAGTGGACCATCCATCTTCTTGGACGTCATCCTGATATTCTCTCCCGATTACAAACAGAAGTTGACGAGTTTTTTGGTGAGTAAAATAGAAATTCAACTATATACATACACATTTTATCTCAAGTCTCTCTGTCTGTCTGTGATCATTTTTTAAAATAACAATTTCAATGATATCGATTAGCTTTCCGACATGAAATATTTTACAGAATGTTTACCAAACGATGGAAATATAAAGCCTGATCAACTTAAGGACCTAAATTTTATGGAGTGCGTCATAAAGGTAAAGTTATATGTGTTTAAATCGTTTAAGACTGAAAGCAGATTTTAATATTTGCACTTGTGATGTCATAAGTGACATAACCAGCTGCAGAAGTAGTATTTATAAAACACGAGATCTATAGTGAGTGTTTTATCATATCAAATTTCTTTATATATGATAAAACGCGAGTGTTTTAGATTACTTTAAATACGCCGCATTTTTTTCGACCAATAAATTTGCTCCATGTGTACAACGCTAATTAGGTTGAAGAATTAAATAAAGAATACTAATGAACGTGACAAACATGTCTTGACAGTCATGTGACGTCTTAGGGTTAATTTTATAGGCTAAAATGCTTATGAACTGTTTTAACAGTTAAATGAGTTTGAAATAATTACTTTTAATAAAGGAGGCGTTACGATTGTTTCCATCAGTCCCATTAATCGGGCGGGAGTTGACAGAGGAGTGTAAATTTGGTAAGAATTAATTTAACACATTTGACACATTTATCTGCAGTGCTGTGCAGACGTCCTCAAAATTGTTGCCAAGTAGTCCATGTAGTGAGTGAATTGTGTGCGTACACATTGCTTGGGGAATTAGTTATCGCTGGGCTATCTTTAAAATGGGGAACATGGGAACAGGGGAACATGGGACCAGGGGAACATAGGGACGGGGAACTACCTGGTGGCTCTGTTCTCCAGTTCTCCTGCATGCTTCCCAGTTCCCTTAATCCCCTGCTCCCCTCCTCCCTATTCCCCCGCTCTTCATTTCACGCAGATCCCCAGTCCCTCCAAACTAACAGACAAAAGTAAAAAAAATTACAAATACTACAATTTATATTATTCATATGGATAATATGATGAATTATTATGAATATGTTTTGTTAAAGAAACATTTTTGGTTACAGTGAAATAACACTTTATAACATGAAAATATTAAGTAATAAGGAATATTTGCACTTTTCAGACATTATTAAACACTTTATCTGTTGTATATGAACCTCAATTAGTTGCCAAACAAACATTGCAATATCATGTGTATTACCTTTTTAAGACATTTATTGGAATACATAAATACTTTCTGTAATACTATAAATATCTAAAATGCCCTACTGATTGTATATGTATTTATAGGAATAATTAAGGAATGTATTACACTGGCAATGGCATCTTTTAACAAAACCATATTGTGTAAAGTCTAAATGCTAATCCAAATGAATTCTTCAAATGTTACGTTAATTACAAAATACAAATATATAATTATGATCAGATCCATATGAATAATATAAATTGTAGTATTTGTAATTTTGTTGCTTTTGTGTATGAGTTTGGAGGAACTGGGGGTGGGTGAACTGGGGAGCGGGGGATAGGGAAGAGGGGAGCAAGGGGTTGGAGGAACTGGGGAGCAGGAAAACTGGGGAACGGGAGAAAAGAGCCACCCCGTAATTCCCCTTCCCCCGTTTCCATGTGCCCCTGTTTCCAATTTTAAAGATAGCCGTTATCACTGTGAATGTTTGTGCATTTAAAATCATAACCTCGATAAGCTTGGAAAGTTATAATGATTGAAATTAGCGATATTACTGTTTGTCCTTTCATAATACATTATCTATATAAAGCCGCGTTTACACTTGCAATATTTGCGGCGATTTTCGGTGCGATTTTCTTCTTTTGAACGAGTGATTAGTTAAGGATGCTCAGCTGATGTATGTCATTTGAACACCCGTTACATATAAAACAAACAAACTGATCGATTCACAGCGGTGTTTTCTAGGTTCAATTTTGGGATCACGTAATACGAGTGTATAATTATTTCTTTTCATCAACCAAATCGTCAGTTTAAATATAGTATTTCAAGCTAGGAATCTTTCATGTTCTTTATGTTAATTAATGTACATGCAACTCAAAGTATGTTTTGCACTCCCACAAATATGCTTTTAAAATCGAGCAGTCGATTGCTCACCCTGATGGCAAAAATCTTTTGGTTATTTGCAAGTCTTTCCTGTGGTCCATGTTTACTTTCCACAAGATTACATGTACGGGCAAAACAATATAATTATAGGATCGCATAAAACTATAACTAAAGATACTCAATAACATTTATTTCCAGGTCCACACCTTGTTCCCAAAGGTTGCAGTGTCATCGTCGGACCTATGGCATTGCATCGTGACCCCGAAGTGTGGGATGAACCTGATGTATTCAATCCTGATCGTTTTCTTCCCGAAAATAACATTGGACGAAATCCCTATGCTTATATCCCTTTTTCTGCTGGCCCTAGAAACTGTATTGGTGAGCTAAGTAACAAAGTGTGCATGCATGCATGCTATTCATATTGAATGGCATTACGAAGAGCAACGAATATCCTGTTGTCTTATAAGTGGGAATTGAGCTCATATCTTTAGGTTCTATATCGCTGCTCTACCAATTGAAATAGCAAAGTTTGAAAACGACGTACATTAATTTCCAGCCTCATAACCAAGTGGATTGTTTTCTAATCCTTTTTTTACTTCTATGCAAACATCCGTTTCATGCCGAAAAAGCGTATTTATTTTTTAAGGACAAAGATTCGCGTTGATGGAAGAAAAGGTGGTTTTGGCAACAATATTGCGTCATTTCAATATCAAATCAACCCAGGCTACGGAGGATATTAAAATAAGTACAGAGCTTGTTCTAAAATCTATAAATGGCATCATGGTTGAACTGGAAACAAGAACAATTTAGATATCATCAGGTAAAATATTATTCTGATCGGATTTTTTCAGACATGCACGTCACAAGACGTGTTTTGTAGATACCGATTTACAGTCGCGCTTTTCAGCTGAAATAGTGTCTTGTTGTAGGTTTGTCAGTGAAATTTTTAAAATCGCTAAATTTAATCCAATATGTTGTTAAGGCCAGTTCCCACGTACAACTACGTGTAACTATACAATCCGTCTCAACTAATGACAGTTTTTTAATTGGAAAATGTGGTACGTATTGGGACCTTAGATGATCGTTAATAAGAGTGCGAGCGTTTGTTGGATGGAAAATAGGAGAACCTCGGCTGATTGTGGAAAAATGAAAGGGTGGAGATGATCATCTAAGGTTCCTAATACCTAATATCTCAAAATGAAAAAACTGCCTGTAGTAAATTACCAATGAACTAATATAATTAATTAATTAATTAACTAAAAATAAGTAATGAACAGAATTTGATTCATGTGTAAAATTGTGCTTTAACGACACTACAGACTACATCCCTTCCGAACTTAGGATATGTGCTATCAACTGAAGGTTATATAGCTTTTATGGGGGTCCAATTAAATATCTTCTGAGGAAATTAAAATCAGCTCACGCGGGACGCAGTTCAGGGATCACTTTTTAAATTGTTTTTGTTAATTCTTGCTGCTGTGGCAATTCTTACAATGACTCACTAGCTGCTCCGCTAAGTCCTTTCTTGAAATCTTTTTCAGAGCACTGGCCAATAAGCTAACAACTGCTGAACTTCCAAGATGATTTTTCCAGGACAAAATTACTTTAATTCCTCGTTCCTTTTGTTCATGATTTTCTTCTGAAATATTGTCCATTTTTGATTCTTCGACGCTCAATTCTCTTCCTAAATCCTTCCAGTTGTTGCCCAGTTTGTTGGAAACGTTTGTTATACAGCATTCGTCCACAGCACCTGAAATGCACATAAGAAAAGTTTTTTTTTATAAATAAATGCGCATGCATTCTGTAAATACTATATTTGACGGAGAGCTATTCGAAGAATGCTTCTTGGTTATACTGGAAGAATTGGAGATTTTAATTTACTTTATGTGGCTTACATAGGTACAGGTGAAAGCTGTTTAATAAGTGATGTTTCTTTCAAATTAACCCAGTTTTAACAAACTTCAAAATAAACGTTCCTTACATTCTTTTAATTCTTCCATGTCTTCTTCCGCCAGAGCAGGTAATGGGATCTCTTTCTACAAAATCAAGAAAACAACGTTCATTTTCGCTATGCAAATATCTCAAATTGGTTACTAACATTTATTAATATATAACATTAATATATAAATGTCCTGGTTGAATTGAAGACGTTTATCTATATGACCTCTAAACCTCTCCTATTATTACGTCACAAATTCACTGTTTTCAATTACAAGGAACTCTTGAAATTCCATCCGTTATTCACGCTCTGGAGTTATGCATGAACGTGCCAAACATGCATCTTTTATTTCCATGCCAAGATCTCTCTCATGCATGTGTTGAAGAAGAATGTATTGTATCTTTACAGATTTTTGGTAAGAGTTGCAATTCATTTTATTTGAGGGTGAATCGACAAAGATTTTTGGCACTTCACTCGATGTGTAGGTAAATTCTAGAGGTTTTAAAGGGTCTTAATTTCGAGTGGAATTATACACCCTTCAATTTCAAGCCAAGAACAGTTGAAGGAAAAATGAGTCAACTATAGGTCCTCCGGCAGGAATCGAACCTACGCTTTTGCGATGCTGGTGCAATGCTCTTGCCAATGGGTAATCGAAATTAAGACCCTTTAAAACCTCTATTCATTTTATTTAATTAACTCTGTTCTATGTAGAAAACGAAAAAGTTGTTTCGTAATTGTAGCGCAATGGTACGCTTTGATGCTGTGTAGAAATTAAATGCGGGAATTCTAGGTTATGCATGAGAAAATAAACTGTAATTACGTGCATATAGGTCAATAATACCTGAACATTTAAATCTGGATTCCAATGAGATAGTAATTTGCTCAAATCAACTGACCGACACCAATACGGAGGATGGTACGATTCCGGATCAACAGAAATCACATGGATACGTTTTTCATTGTCCCCACACTTACTGCTTGTGACTGCGCGATTTTGTGTGCTGGACCCAGCTTCATCTTCACCTGACTCAGAACTTTTCTCGCTTCCAGACGAGCTTGATTCGCAGGGCCTCTGTAGATCATCCGCGTTGAATGTTGCTCCAGGACAATCTTTATGTGGGCAAGGGGGGCCGCAAATAAATTTAAGAAATTTAAAATACTGACGACAGATTTCGCTGACTTTTTTCTTTAATACGCTTGCAAGGTGAGAAAAATGTTCACCTTTCTTGCATCTAAAAAAACACAATAAAGAATTCATCATTTCAGAACGAATAAATACAGGTAAAATAGCTTTATATATACAAACCTTGCATGGACCCAAATTTGGCAGTCTTTCAACACCAATTTTGTGCAGAATAAATATCTGTTTGAAATTGAGAATATCCCTCCCCGTCTTTGCAGAATTGGCTTCATTCCTTTCGATTTGCAGCTGTGATGATAGACGTGAACCAAGAAGTAGTCGAACAAAGGCGGAGGCAGGAAGCCGCCAAAATCGAAGACGAACTTGTGTTCAGTTTCCGTGAGATCTTCCCAATCCTTGCAAGCCTTGAGCCAACGTTTACTAAAACTTTCATCAGATTTATCCTTTAGCATGCATGGTATAATAAATTCTTTAGCTTCAGTGGGGCACGATGCTACTTTTTTATCACTTTCAGTATATAGAGCGTGAAGAAGTTTAAAACTTGACAGCAGTTCAGCAAGCACGTCAACATCTTCGACCTTATCTTTCCAAATATGTTCTAGTAGTGTACCGGCCACTCGGCCTTCTTCTTTCAGCTTCTTAAATTCGTTAGAAAATTGACGTTTAAAGTGATTTTCATTATTTTTCGGAACTTCGTGGATGCTGGTCATTATATCTACGAGATACTGCGGAGACAAGATTACCAAATCTTTCCCTACGGATTCTTCGCTAACATCGTGCATGATTCCTAAAATGAGACCATCTTTAAACTATAAGCCTTTATCGAAATCGGCTATGAGAAAATGACATTGACTGTAGTAGAAGTCAGAAAAATTTTAGAAAATTTCACTCTTTTTGCTCTCTTTGAATGCAAACGATAATTCATCTAAAGCTTCACTTTCACACCAAAAACATCGATTAAAAAATTGCATAAAATATGTTTTCATGTTACAACAGTACACGTTACCTGGGAGAAGAATTAGTCCGCTATCGTGAAAAAATGTTAACATCGAGTTAAATTCGTGATCAGAAAATGTTGTCTGGCATTTGTCTTCTAGCAATTCTTTCACAGCACTGATATCCAAACATTTCTTGCTCTCTGGATCTTTCTGATGCTCGATAATCTCCTCTTCACAATGAAGCCACTTCAGAGGTAATTCCTGATTAACAAACCAGGTCTTGCCCGAAGCAGAGATATCCCTTGCAATTGCATCCTTTAATTTTACAATTCCAGCATCGTCATGGGCATTCGAATTTTCAACAACGAACAATATGTCGTCATCAAGACTTCGGACAAGGCGATTACCAAACATATGTGCAAATTTCTCTTCACAAAATCCTCTTGCTGTGTGAATGAACTGGGAATCAACCTATAAAATATTGTAAAGAATCCTCTCTTATACAACGAAGTTGAAGATCAAAAGGGCTGAGGACCCATTCAGAAATTGGGTGGGGGCACTACCAAAATGTTTACTCTAGAAAATTACGTAATATCGATTAAACTGAACAACTAATTGTTAATTACAGTGACTAATAAAATACTAAATTTTTCATAGCTCAGGGGAAATTCTTTCAGTTTTTGAAGAAAAGGCGACACAACTTTTTTCACTTTATAAAGGGCAGGTCTTGTTCCCCAAAAAGGTAGAAAGAAAAAGTCAAGAAAGATAAAGTTGGTACGGTTGCTTATTGCTAATAGGGAGCTTTAGCAGTGACTACGAGTACGAGATTCGTCATTCTCGCGCGTTGTTTGCTTACGCCATCAGCCGAAACTCGTGGTCGTTGGGCTTTCGAGTACGAAATTTATCAAAAAACTCGTACTCAAAAGCTTGACGACTACGAGTTTTGACTAATGGCGTAAACAAACAACGCAAAAGAATGATGAATCTCGTACTCGTAGTCGTACTCGTAGTCACTGCTAAAGCTCCCTAATTTTAGCCGTGCGGTGCAAATGAATTGAGTATATACATATATAGTACACTGGTCTCTGCAAGCGTTGCTGGACTGTGTACTGAAATGAAGCTAGTGATTGCGACAATTAGTAGCCTGATGCAGGTATTCAATCTACGTGCAAACGTTTTGATACAGAAGCGTATAACTTCAGTTGGAATTACCTTAGCTTTTGGGTTCCCACAAGCATTACTGGAGTGGAGGAGGACGTGTGACTCGCGATCGAATTTAACCAATAGTGTATCTTGCGCAAGCTTTTTTCAGGAGATTTACTCATTTTCAATAAATTAAACACTACCAAATAAAGACTGTTACTATTCATGAACACGTGATGCATTGGTTCGTAGAGTTGGTGCCCGGCGAAATCCCAAAAAATTTTCTTAACGCTTGACTCTTCAGTCGCGGCGCTTGATAATTTTCTGGCGACAAGGGTGGCCGGGTACTTCCGGGGAGAGTCTTGAATAGTGACTGATGGCTCGGTCACCACGCGCCTCACATACTCTGGGGAGTCCAGAGTCGGGATCGATGGTGTTTGCAAACCAGGATAAGTTGTTACGGCTAGTTGGTCCACTAACTCGCGTAAATCAAAATTTTCCGAGGTCCAGGGTAGTCCTGGCAGGTTTGCTTTCTGCATCTTTTTTTTAAAATCTTTGTGACGCATCGTGCTGTTAGTTCATCGCAATGGGACTCGTTGGGGTCAGCGTGTTTCCACGTTTCGTCAACTTTGCTGCTTGTTATGATAGGTTCACTTATAGAAGCCGTTTGGATTCCACGTGTCTTTTCCCGGGTATCAATAAACGGTTGACCACAAAGAGACCGAGTAAGACTTGTTTTTCCAGCCCCCACTTCGCCAACAACGATGATTTTCAATCTCGAAGCCGAAGCAGTGCCTTCAGCCAAGGCAGTTTTAAATGCATCTACCGCATGCTCTCCTCTGGCCAAAATCTCGTAAGGCAACATCTCAGATGAAACTAAATAGAAAGATAGAAAGCCTGTACATCAAATGATCGGATCCCTGAGGTATTACAATGGAGAAGGCATTGTTTACAGGACTCTGAAGAGATTGCGATTTCAGATAATTCTCTCAGGTCTGTTTATTAAATCCATGAGCAGGCAGAGTATAATTGAAAGGCGCAGGGTGCTTGGGGTAAGCGAATATGTAATAAAATCTAAAAACAAATTGCCAAGTTTGCCTCAACTACATATTGGGCTAATGAAGGCCCTGTTACACGTTGCAATTTTTCTTGCAACTTACAATGCAATTCTTCTTTTGAGAGATGTAAATTTGGCAACTGCAAAACCTTTATGTTTATTACAATTCATAGCGTTTCTTACACTTCCATTTTGAGAACTTTTCACTAATTTACATGTCTTAAAAGTAGAATTGCTTTGCAAGTTGCAAAAAAAATTGCACCGAGTAACATGGCCTTCAAATATATGTCCGACAGGTCCTATGATGGTTTTATGAAAATATGAAAAAAAGGGAATTATGTAAAACTCAAGAACTTATTAAATAATTGAATAATTCTGTCAAACGTCTAATGGCTATAATGTATCTACCTTCAGTGAATCTACATTCTGTAATTATTTTGTTGGTACCAGTCCCAATAATCTCCTGCCCCTTTTCAACGTCATCAATTACAGAAGAGCATATTTTTTCGAGATTACCTACAAAAAACAAGTTCGTTAAAATGATAAAGATTTTGCGTAAAACATTACATTGATATAATTGCACTACTCTATCTAGGACGAAATTTATTACACGCGTAAAAATAATGATGTTGATGCACGTTTTCAAAACAAACAGTGAACAATGTTGTGCTGCACAGTCTATAGATGTGAACATTTGACAATGGTTGTTGAACTGTCAATGCTGTCATACTGCAACGATGATGGTTTGACATCTTCATGGGGTGCAATATTGTTCACTTCTGATGCGACAACCCAGTGGTGCATAACAAGATCTATTAATCAGATGCCAATTGCCTGGGCAATTCTCATACGTCATGTGTGAAATAATGTGTGAGAGAAACGGTAAATAACGAGGCAGACGTCAATTATTGAACTAACCGCAATGTGTAACATTATCAGAGTCCCCCAATTCAGAGAAATCGTCTACACTGGAGGCTCCCAGTTTTTCAATACTTTCATTCGTCTCCAGATCTTTTTCAGAGAAACCTATTGCAGACAAATACTTCTAATTACATCACGACGTCACATGATATCAAATAACTCTGTATGTTATAAATAAGTGGATGATACCGATTCAATGATACACGGAGTCAATCATGAAATATCAAAGAACTTACAACTATCCTCAGTATAATCCTTGGGTTCTGAATCAGAAGTCTCGTTATGTTCTTCAAGACTTATACTTCTCTTTGCTACAAAGGAAAGACTATCAATAATCGCCATATCGTCATCATATATACGACATATTTAAGGTTACAATAGTCAGTGGCGGACCTAGGGCTGTGCAGAATAAATTACACAGCAATTTAAAATTATTTTAAATTTATTTTAAATTCAAAACACCTTAATAACAACGCTATTGGTAATAGATTTGAAAACAACATTGTTACATTAAAATCTTCCAATACACGCGATTCTGATTTTAAATTCTGCATACCCGTAGATCCGCGACTGAAAATAGTGCTTTTTGCACTTTAAGCTCAACAGTCGTCAGTCGTGTAAAATTGAACTAAAAAGTTCCTTCCCTAAATGTTGTCGCACGCAATTTACCTGTGATTTTCTTACGGCGAAGTTCGGATATCATCGCTGCAATTTGACAAGCTAAAATTGTATCCATACAAAGATTCAGTACTAAGTTCCAAGAACATAAAAGTCTGGTTAGAGCCATGAAAGGTCTATGTGCATTCATGCAATGTCTGGCTAGATTCAAGCTAAATCTGGTTACGTCCAAATAAGATATGGTATAGATTATTGCAAGGTCTGGTTGAACTCGAACAAGGTCTATAGTTGGATTCAAGCAGGTCTGCATGGTAATATCCATGCAAGGTTTTGTCATAGATCTAAGTAAGAAAATATCAAAATGGAACTCGACGAAATCGGCGTTAGTTTCTCAACTTACCCCAACGGGAAACATCATCAAAAGCCCCAAATTCCGAAGAAATCTCGGCGCAAGTGGCTCCCTCGACATTTTCATTTGTCTCTTCGTCTTTCCGCGAGGCAACTGTTACAAACAGATAAAGTTAATATGACGCCAAATACTCATGTATCCGTAATTTCTACCTATGATTGAATTCAGTGGACGAGATTAGTTATATTGAAAATCTTTAAGAGCGTAACCCGTTATTAACATCCTGATATTGATGCTTGCACCGGCAAAACTTCGTTTTCTGTCTAAACCTGGACTCAAAGTATGGCTTTCGGTGCGTAAGTTTTTTTATGCACTGAATTATAAATATGTTTATTTTCACATCCATTTAAAAAATGCGGTTGACTAGTACTTAATTGTCTTTATATTTATCCGCTAGGGAAAAGACGCATTTGAGATACACGTTTCCAATGGGATAAGAAATGTTTAATTTGGTAATTAAAAAGTTTGCAAATAATAATTATTGCAAATAAGTAAATTGTTTGACTTACTGGGAACACTTATTTATGGCAGTCATGAAAATAAAAAAGTTTACGCGTTGATTGCTACAACCATGCAAAATTAAAATATCAAACCAGCCTGATTTACCTTTGAATGTTTTTAGACGAAATTTCGAAAACATTGCTAAAATTTGATGAATTAGAATTTCATTCATACAATCATCGTGACAACGTGCCAATTGAATTGGTGTCTGCCCACTCTCATCTTTTAAATCTAGTTTTCCACCATTATCGAGCAAGAGACGTAAACTGGTTGCTCTACCACACCTTGCTGCCAGGTGGACTGGAGTCTGACCTTGTTGATCAGGGATATTCGGATTTCCGTCTGGCCAAGAGAGCATTACCTTGAGACATCTTGGAAGTGAATTAAAGTATTTATTATTAGCCGCGTATACTAAAATTACTGCATGTGGATTGGTCAAGAGGAGTACAATTATTTCATTAATTGTACTGCCAAAATAAACAAAATGGCGGAACGTTTTTGCACACAAACTAAACAGCTCTGGAGGAACAAATATTTATGAAAGAAGAAATTCAACTTTGTAAACAAGCGATTAAAAAATTTAAATGTATAAAGATTTGCTTTAACCCAGGGTCAGGGCCGGATTAACCTTTCTCGGGGCCCGTGGCATTTTTTCAGTGCGGGGCCCCTCAATCCCGTAAAGCATCAAAGCCTTTACTCACCGGCCACAGAATTTTTGGGGCTCGGGTAAAATTCTCGTTAGGGGAATAAATTCCGCAAAAAAAATAGCAATTTGTGCTACTGTAGCGAGATAATGCATGACCAAAACATTGGTGTAGAAAATTGAATTTTGGGGGCTATAGCATGCAGTCTTAGGGGGGTTTGGGAGAAAATTTTGAGTTTTAGAGTGCAACAATGCGATTTCCTGCATTTTGGGGGTGAGATTTCCGCAAAATCGAGTATAATATTGCATTACCTAAACTATAAACAACCTAAGACGTTTTCTGAAAGAGGACTATATATTCCAACAACATGATGCAGTTTAATTTTATTCTTGTAGGTTTTTAGGGACCCTTACAACCCTGGGCTCAGGGCTAATTTCCCCCTTTGGCCACCCCTCTGGGTGGCTCTGCCTTTACTTGAAGTTTTGAATTTCTAAGTTTTCCCGTTACCGTAAAATTTTCTTGGGAGAATCTGGTTGCAGGGGTGCCTAATTGGGCCTCGACTTTTGATTTCTAAGGCTTCGCATTATTTATTTCGCTCCGATAGCTTAATATAAGCTTTAAAGACACTTTTATTTATTTATGGGGCCTCGCTTTTTGGAGTCACTTTATTTTATTTTGTGGCCATGAGGCTTTGTGGCCCTTTTTCCGTCTCCCACGCACCGAAAAAAAATTGAACTGAGTAAAGCGCGGGGCCCCCAAAACCGCGGGGCCGTGGCATATGCTACTTCTGTCATATGGTTAATCCGGCCCAGCCCAGAGTTAATCTAAGCGGCTTCTGAACAACTGGCCTGAAGTCCACATGCATTATGAGACACGGGTTTGGTTTTTACCTCGAATATCCCCTGAATGCTGCACAGTGCATTGGTGTAAAACCCAACTGTGACGAAGGATTGACCTGATGCGATGCCCCGGTAACATTTGCGTCTTCAGTGAAAATTAGCTGACCGACTTCTTGGAACCTTCCGCAACACGCAGCTTGGTGAAGGTCATATCTGTGAATCCACTTGTGTTTGAGGTGATGAATGTAATCAAACTCGCCTATGAAATCCTCATTGCATAAAGCACAACGAAAACAGTTCAGGCTATTGCGATGTTCTTTATGCCTTATATCCTTTCTCAGATGCTTGATCACACTGTTATTTTTAGGGAGTTATTTTAACACCAAAAAAGGGGTCAAAAAAAAAGGTTCAAAATGAGCAGCTTTTTGGAGTAACAAATAACTCCACTTCTGGTGTTATAATTTAACACCGCTTTTGGGGTTAATTTAACTCCAATTCTGGACTTAAAACATAACTCCATTTTTGGAGTTAAACATATTTAACACCGTTTTAGGTGTTAGGCCGGTTTTCTACTATATAGGTAAATTACTTCGATCGAAGGAAATTTTTCGCTTGATTTTCTTTTCAATTGTGATCTATCAAGTAAATCTGCTTCGGTTTAATTTCACAAATTAAAAGATAAATAAATTGAGCGAAATATTCCGTTCCATCGAAGATTTCTACCTATAATACCGATCGAGTCAACAAACAATGCAGCACAAATATCGTTATTATATTATTATAATATTGAATACATGAGATCAATTACATTTCTGTTTGAGTACAGCAAGTCAACTACGCATTAAAGGAATTGCTTCTATAGTATAGCTCTTTAATACTTTTTATTTACACTTTAACACACATGCACATTTGCAAAAAATTTAGAAAATGTTTTTAAGTGGAGTACCATGCATGCCTAAAACATAATGGTATAGTCATTAAGACACTGGTTGTTCAGTTCTACTAGAGTTCTACTAAGCTAAGACTCACTCTACCAAGATGATGACCTGGCTGTATAAGCAATACTGATCCACGTTTCTTCTTTTACAATTTTCCTCGTAGTAAAATTTTCGGAGGTTTCCTGTTGTGCCAATTGCACGAAACGAGTCTTCAATCTACGAACAAATAGAAAAATTGCATGTATATGAGTGTAAATTCGAGTAGTGTGCTTTGTATGCATATAACAGAGCACATTGTTCAACAGACCTTCAAAATCTATATGTTCTATGTGATCCACAATGCAAACATACTCAAACAAATAAGCAGAAACATGTGAGTATAAGGAAGGAATAATTTCAAGTAACTTAGGCTTAGCTAATATAAAAAGAATAGGAAAAAAATTCCACATACCTAGATTTACTGCATCATGGTAAGTTGCTTCGTCCATTGAGAATTGAACAGTTATTTTGGGGTTGTTTTCAACATCGTTTCGCTAGGTTAGGGCCTGGTTAGGGCTTTCTTGTATTGAAATTTGTGTTTGAGTTTCCCATTGGCATTGCTTCTTCTACCCTCTACCGGGCATTGTGGACTTCTGTCCTTCTACTGCTTCTAAAGATACGAATTCGAATTGTTATAGACTATTAAAATATCCCAGGAACTTTAAGGTAAATATCGGAGGCTCGCGATATCATGTATTCATGCTGCTGATCAGAAACAAAAAAATACTTCGCCGTCAGTTTTGCGACTGAAAAACTCTTTTGGCAACAGCCCCACAGAAAAAATAAATCGACCAGCATCAAAAATTATAGAAACAACTATTTGAAAAACATTTTAGAATCAAACTATAAGAATCTTGCAATAAATTTGTCTGTTTTTGCAGGCCAAGTTAACACAATAAAAAGGCGGGAAGACTAAATGCAAGAAAAACTTCAAATATTTACCTTAAAATAGCTCGCACTAGTCGCCAAATCCAGCTTTTCGCATCCAAAATCGCAAGTCCTTACTAAGTTTACAATTTTCGAATGAAAAGTACCGAGAAAGAGAACTTTTTACGGAGCAAGCGAGGGCTTCGTGTGTACTTTGCAAATATTTCGCCAAGAAAGACCCGGCCACTGAGCTGTATAAAGACCTGAAGTCTTAGCATAGGTGTCCCTGGCAATTCAACCCACATCATGAGGTTTTCTTTTTCTTGATTAGTTGACTCAGTTTGTCTTGATTTTAAAATCAACTGTCAAAATTTAAAATGAAAGTTAATGTTAGGATACTATCAGTAATGTTTTTTGCTTTATTAATTTATGAACATATTCTGTGGTACCTAACAAACACTTATTTCTTCAGTTTAATTAATCTATGATTTGATGTTGTTGGTGATTTTGTATAAATGTTATTGAGGTCTCCAAGTGGGACAATGGAAAAGACATATAAATTAATTATTTTTCATACATGAAAATTTAACTTTCATGAGCCCTCAAGAATATTAATTCAAAAGGTCAAATTTTTTAAATTGATTTCTGATTAAAACCTGCCTTGCAATACATATTGTGTATAATTATAGCTCTAAATTATCTGCACAGTTTAATGCTTGATTCACATGATCTGCACTGTTCAATGCATGGTTCTTTGACAGATAATATTAACACAAAATAGTTTTTTCAAAAAATTGTATTTAGCCTTATGAATATATATAGCTTCATAATCATATATAACATGTTTAAGGGTCAGTTTTGAGAGATGTATTACTTAAAATTTTGAGCATAAAAGACCACATTTGATATGGAAGACTGCAAATCACCAAGCTTTTAAATGCCACTTAACTCTCACATATATATGTTATCCAAAAATGCACCAATCAAATGTTTATAGCACTTCTTGGTTGTGTAAATAGCTAATGTGCATTTGAGCATTACACTCAAATATTGACCACCTTTCAGACAATTATTAAAAAGAACCAGGAATGGATATTACAATGTCCCATATTACCTGGTTATTTTAAGGTGATCCTGAATATAAAAATAAAGAAGATTCATTGCAAAATAATTAACAAAAAACAGGAAAATTTTTATTATTTGATTTATTATAAACTGAAATAAACAAGCATGCTTGGATTTCTTGCACATAAAGAGGTTAAAATAGTTTTATTGAATAATTCATGAATAAATCATGTTTTAAAGTACCAAAAATATAAACCTGGGGAATTCGCATTTCCATAAATATATCAAATGAGCTCTTTTATATAGTTTGTTTGAAAATTTGATTTCGAAAAAACTTCAATTAAGGCCTTCCAGGCTAGAACTACAAGACCGTAAGTTATGATATTTTTAATGCGCTGAATACCTTATATAATAATGCGCTATACGATGTATAACGATCGGTTGTCAATGCTTTACTCCAGCCGATCGACCATGTATTTCGCTATTTAATGATTGATTCTATGACATTTATCGTTATAAACTTACCGGAACTATCCGAGGCAATCTTTTCATCACGTATTCTGATGTAGTAAATGATTTCAATACAAGATTTTGTTCAATTTCAATAAAAATTATCATTAACGCGATGTGCATCACCAATCTTCACTCCTTGTTTTCAAATCTCCATTATGAATATATAATGAGAGGAATTTAACTCCAAAAATGGAGTTAATTCCTCTAACCCCTCTAGATGGGATTATTTTTGCATACTAATCAACGTTCGAAGACCTCGTTACTCCACTGAGGAGTTAATATAACTCTAAAAGTGGTGTCAAAATAGCACCAAAATTTAACACCCCGAAAAATAAAATTTGGGGGTGTTAAAATAACTCCCTGAAAATAACAGTGCAGTGCAAATGAATTAGGAAATTTCTCTCCTGGACAAAATGAACATTCGTATTCACCACAGCACCCAGTACATGTGCCAAATGCCTCGGAGAAAGACATGGAATCCTTTATATGCACAGCTTCATCGATCGCTGTACAACAATGAATTTCTAAAAAAAGTTTAATTTGAAATGTTATGTACATGTTCATTCGTTTTCACAGTCCAGGAGGAGGAATAACTTTTGTCAAGAGGAGAGGAAGTTGCGAGAAACTTTCGGGATTAATAAAAAATGAAAAATAATTATCGTTCTTATGTGCAAAAAATCGCAATTAATCGACTAAAACCTAAAATGTTTGTCGCAATACATTGACGAGAGCCAGGCGCACACGATGCGATTTTTGTCGTACGATTTTAGTCGGGGGACCAAATCCTCGCGTGTGCGTTCAGCGATTTTAGTCACGGTTTGCCTGCAATCGGAATATATCAAAACAGCTTGATATTTGCCGTTTAAAATCGATCGCTAAAATTGTACGACAAAAATCGCGTCGTATGCGTCTGGCTCAAACATGCGGGATGCCACTGGCAAGCGCTAACGTAACGAAGGAAAGGAATAGTCTATGGTCTCAGAGTAATACTAAAATGCCTCACCTAAGCGTAAGCGATTCGTCCTATATGCATCGCTTGTTGAGTATAGCTTATAGCCAGTGACTAGAGGCATTCATATATTAACACAGAGTAAATAGTCAGACACAAAGTGAGACAGACTTCTGGGTATAATCTGTTCTGCCTTGGCTCGACCACTCGACCCGGGGCCTAATCATTTTGTAATGTGATTAGGGGATTAGGGCTGCAACCACGCCAAATATGGTGGGCAACAATTTAGAAGAAAATTCAAAGCTTAGGACACTTTCATCACGTTGCTGCCTATAATTGTGTTTGTATGTATAGACAATTTCGTTGTAGCTGGAATTCAACACATCTGGGCGATATTAAATCACACACAAAACGTGGTTAATTTGATTGGAGGTTAGTGTACACTATAGGCGAAGAGCCTCAACATAACATGGTTCTCGTCTTCTCGAAGCTTTGAAGCCTGAAGAGGCAAGCAAACGTACATCACATGTTGTTGTTATCTGCATTGCCAAATCGAACAGCTATGGTTTCACGATTTTACAGAAGTATGGGGTTGACAATACCTTTTTTAAGCAATTAAGTGATCACTATGGATCTTTGATTTAGTTGTGGCCAACAACCCCCCTAGTATATCTATTATCAACCAAATACTGTGTATTATATATATGATGTATACGTAAGATGTAGAAATGGCCCTTCTGTTTTAAGACCAATTGCAAACAAACTAATGCTATTGTTAGGATGACTACATGATAGCCAGGATCATGTACTATGCTTACATCATATACCTCAAAATCATTTCAAAATTTGTTTATCACACTGTCTATGTGGGATCATACATGTAAACAGTTAACATACAGTCCACTCTTGTATTTTAGTTTAAGGTCACGAGCAATGCTAGCTTGTGTTCATTAAAAGTACCGTAGCCAAGTTTGAACTATTAAAAACCATTTCAAAACATGCATTAACTAATATGCAAATTTAAGGTATATTACTCAACACATCGATTCATTTATTTCGTGTGTAATTTCAATTTCAAACAAACACTTTGTCTACATTTAAAAAATGTGTATAATTCCTAAAATATCAAGAACTTTCAGACTATTTGATACACTTTTAGTTTGAAACAAGTAGACTATTCATTGTAATGAGTAGAACATAAACAAATTAAACCCCCCTTAAATTAAATAAAGATTTGTTAGTAATATTCCTATATATAGCCTAAACATTGTTCAAATAGAGAAAATTGTAAATGTGCATATTTTCACTCATATTTGCATCTATGTCACATGTGGTGGTATATTAATAATAGGGTCATTAGCTATCAATTTTATAAAACAGGCAGCCAAGATGCAGGTTTTAAAGTTTCTGTATGTATTAATTGCTTCAGAGAATTAGTTATTCTGGTTCCATAAAAGGCTCCATAAATTATGACCATAATAGCTGTAAAAGCATGAACGGAAATAGCTACACAACTTTCATGATAAATTGCATGAGTTGCATGTGTTTAGACTACATACATACACTGTGTGTTTAATCCGCTGTGTTTAGACTACATACATACATGTAAGTTTATTGCATATGCAGTCCACTCAGCCATAACCATATGCCCTGTGTTAGAGAGTAGGAGGTGAAATCTATAGATACTAGATAGACAACTTGTGTGCAGATTAGCAAAGTGCTGGATGTGTTTAAAAGAAAGTGTAACAAAAATGGTCTAATAGAATACACATATGTGATATATATTACAAAATTTGGTTTTGAAATTTTTAGTTATGTAACTCGTTTTCGGTTTGCCTGAATTTTCAGCTAAACTTTGCCCCAATGTCTTGATTCTTGAAATTTGGGGGGGGGGCAAGTGCCTTATAAAACACTCTCTCCTATTTTATTTTAACCTGACTATATCTGTAATTATTGCCAGGAAAAGTTGCAGTGACCGACACTCTTTAAAGCTCCCTTACTTTTTGATAGATGGAAAAGTAGGTTGGTATAGCCCCCTTCTCCGCAGGCTTTGAATGACAACGTATATAGTATTACGTTGGTCTACATTCTACAAACTTATCCACGTCCGGTCAACATGCGATTTATAATACTATAACTCATGTGTACATAATACATGTTTCTTTCTATGAAGCATATATATACCAATAAAAACATGTATAGGCCTTAAAAGAAAATGAGAAAAATAAATTTATCTTCATTCATTTTGTATTCTCTTAAAATATAAAATGAATTCTTTTTAATTAATTAATGCATTAATTAACACTCTGTGATTACAACATGCATGGAACATGAATAAAATTATAAAGTTTTACTAAACAAAATAAAGTTACTAAACAAATGTTATTCCTCACTGTTTTGGCCAAACCAGGGAATGGAACAAGGAGCTATATACTCCCTTAGAAGTAACTGGGCTTAACTGGGCTTGTGGAACTGGGCTTAGCCCCCAAAATACTTGAAACATTTTGTACTAAAAATAATGGTTATATGAACATAGCTTGTGTATCTATTCCTAGTCCCCACAATATAGACCTGTAAATAATATATTGGTTTACAATAGTTAAGTTCAGTAGAGCACTTCATCATAATCACAGGATGTGGGCTTGATTGAGTTAATTCTTGCTATATAAAGGCAAGTTGACTGCTGATTTTGAGATAGAATTCAATTTTGCAATATAGGAAATTAGTAACAGGAAAGATAGTGTGTAAATATTAGTGTTTGGTCGACTGAAATGTATAATATTAATAGTGGCTGCACGGATTAGAGTAAAAATATTCTACTAAAACGCCCTTACTCATCAAGCGGTAAGATAAAGTTAATTGAATTGCATTATGCCAAAGCACCTACTATGTCTTAAGACGGCTAATGTATTATTATCAAAATATCATCATATATGGGAATACACGTTTTTGTTTGCTAATACAAATGACGCAATATACCTCTCGCTTTTTACATTTGAGCAGAAATAAAAAATCTGTTAAATGTTTTATCTGTTTATTATGAAAATTAATGTACTCACCTTTTCAGATTTTCTTGACATTATTAGTTGGGCCCTATGAATTGTTGACTTATGAACTCTAAAATAGTGAAACAGCTGTTATTGGCATTTTGCATCATTCATAATCATAGAATGGTTTAGCCGTTGGGAAGGATATAATATTGATTTTCATTGAATATAGGCGATTAGCGAATTTGCTATCGCTGAATTCACAGGAAATTGTTACAAGTTCTTGGAATTAGAACAAGCTCTGAAACAAAGATTCTTGCATTTGGAGTTCCGGTACCGGCGTGTTGGCGGTCTGAGGTTGTCACCTCACCTGTCTTAGCCTGTGTCTGGCCTGTGTATGTAACAGGATAATGAATGTACCTCAGGGTACCTCATGGGATATAGATTTGTTTCCCGAAATTCGGGTAAGGATAGTATTTAAGTACAACATTCAATGGGAATACCGATTGAAAAATTGTATTTAAAACAAGCAAGGTTGTAAAAGTGGCAACTCTCCACGCGCTCTTGCGAAAGAGACGAAAGCCTTTGGCTTTAATAATAGATTAAGTGTTAACGCTCAGTGTTATCGCTTCAACATACACATATGTACTCGCCTCACCCATAAATAGCATCACTTTGCTGTAATGAAAAGGCTGATCCCAGGTTGAAAATCTTTTCAAGATCCTGCTAAGATCTTGCAAATGACAGGATCTTGGCAAGGTATTTAGGATCTTGCCATGCTTGAAGATCTTGAAAATTCTTAAATCTACTTGCCAAGATCTTGCTAAGATCTTGCCAAGATTCTAAGTTCAATGTTTGCTTATTACATTAACATGAAATTTGTTCAAAATGAGCATCAGTTTTCTCATGTTATTAAGCTATTGCTTTCCCGCAGATTGGTGTTGACTAAAATGATTTTTGCAATGGTCCTGCTAAAATTTTATCATGATCTTGTCAAGATGTTATCATGATTTTGCCAAGATTTTATCATGATCTTGCCAAGATTTTATCATGATCCTGCCAAGATTTTACCATTATCGGAGCACGATTTCAACTTGATCTTGCCAAGATTTCACTTTTATGTAGCCAATATTTTATTACCATGATTTTACAAGATTCATGGGACGATCAACTGCAACTTGCCAAGATTCTGCTATGATTTTGTCAAGATTGTACTGTGATCTTGCCAAGATTTTACTGAGATCATGTCAAGATTTTACTGATAACTTGCAAAGATTTTACTGAGATCTTGCCACGATTTCTTTGTGATCTTCGCAAGATTTCGCTGTGACCTTGTCAAGATTGTACTGTGATCTTGCCAAGATTTTACTGAGATGTTGCCAAGATTTTACCGAGATCATGTCAAGATGTTACTAATAACTCGCCAAGATTTATTTGAGATCGTGCAAGATTTCACAGTGATTTTCGTAAGATTTCGTTGTGATTTTGTCAATGTAATTTGCCCAGCTAGGTTTTACAGTGATTTTTCCAAGATTCCACAATAATTTCGCCAAGACTTTACCATGATTATGAGTCCACAAAGAACACATACTTCACATACGGGACAAATTATTGTAAACTCTTGAAATATTTACAAACATGCTCGTGCTTGCAACTATGAACAGTTAATGTTAATAACAGGTGTAATATAGGCATTCACAAATTCTTCGTTCATTTCAAAAACTGCTGTATGTTTCCGAGAGATGCCCACGTTTTCACGTTTTTTTACATGACTTGATAGACCCATCTGGAAACAAAACTGAGAGAAAGCGAAGCCTCAGTCCACAAGATGTTCATCCTTATCAAGACTCCGACTTCGAAGCGAGCGATTTCCGAGGTGAAGATAAGGACAAAAAATCCAAAGTCGCATTTGGATTTCGACTTCGACGATGATGCCCTGAGCAAAGAATACGAAAAATTAAACCGTCTGTCCGAGATGCTAACGAAGGTAGCTTTACTGAAGTTTAACTCGCATATATATGATATCCCACATTTTCATCAATGTTTTAAAATATTCAAAGAATTCTTTTTTTCGACAATTTTAGAGTAAATATCAGTTAAAATCGAATGATAAAGCAACAAATGAGCGCTTGGATTGACTGGAAAACGATGTGAAGAAAATCTCCAAGGCAATTGATAATTTGAAAGATGCAGTAAAAAAGTTAACTGCTGTAAAAACCACTTTAGTTTTACAGGTATCCATGTATGCAATATATGAATATTACCACAACATTTATACATGCCATGCACATGCATTTTCTATAAATTCAAATTTCAGGCAAGACCTGTATTTGCTTTATAAATCATTGATGTTTTGATAAATATATATAATAGGATGACAAATTGCCTAAGAAGTCATTAATAAGTCCAACTACAGCTAAAAAGGAGACTGAAAACGCAGCAATGGTAAGTTAAATTGAGTGTACAGCAACTACAGTTTCAATAACTTTTTTGCCTTTTAACAAAACAAGCAAAGTATCATTATAATACACAGTAGCATAGCCAGCCTGACGATCCATTCCTGCTATGCTAATATTTTGGTGGTCATTGAAAGGAAAAAAGAATGAATTTCTAAAGAAATGAATATTAATTATAATAACCTTAGATTTGCATAGCGGGTATCAATTCTCAGGCTTTCTACGTTGACTGATCTTAATTGATCACTGTTGAATCAGAAGTGATAAGTAGAAACCAGTATTGTTCATTTAGTCTTCAGTATCAGCATGTTGTAATATTCTTTATAATATTGTATTTTATATATTATAGTGGCAGAATGAGGTTAATTTAATGAATATGAAAGCTCAACCAAAAGAGCCAGCAAATGTGCAATTAATTTGCTTAACCACTTGTGTAGTCAAAGCGAACTCCAGGACAGGATTTTGTTTAAATCGAAAAAATCAACGAAAACACCCCTAGATGCCGAGGGGTCACTAAACTGTTTGGTAAGTTGCGTTATGTATGTTGATGCTAGAGTGTTTTGGCACATGAATTTCACATTTTTGAATCTTTGTTAGCAGTATAATTTTATACGCTTTTCGAAAACTGAATTGCAATTGCGTCTTTACTTTAGCAGTTATTGCCACTTAAAACACAAAAAAAGCCGCGCAAAAGGGATTGGTACAAAATCATTGATGTGACGTCACAATAGCAACTGGTTTGACTCATTCATATTACAAAAAGAAGAAAGATGGCGGCGCAAAAAATGCACGCAAATATAAATATGCCCAATAGATGGATTGTTGGGGGTTGCTCTAATACCTCTAATCCGGAAAAGGAATTTTTCTTCATTTTATACCGTTTCCTGGTGACGAAAGGCCAGAACCAAAAAAAAAGACGAAAGCAGAGGATTGATTTCGTGCTGTTGAAGAGGGAAAATTGTATCTGACTCCAAATTTTACAAGAAAGATTTCACACAAATGTTTTCTGGTTTCTCTGGTGAGGTATAGCGGTTAGCCACCGATGAAAATGGCGTTGTGCATGGCAGCCCCTAAGTGTCACGAAGTAACAACGGAAGTCAAACCTTCGTCTGCAAGAGCTAGGAGAATGATAAGTTCGTACGTATCGTTAATTGTTAGTTGTGAATAATCATTTTTATGGTTGCTGTTTCTTAAACACAGTGCAATTTTCTTATGTCAGCTATTTGAATACATACATACGATTATAATTATGCCGCTTTATATGCAAATATTTATCACATTGCAAAGGTTGTAAAAGAAGCGTCGTCTGTAAGTCTGACCGCCCAAGGCGAAGAGCCGCATGAACCTTGACACAAAGTCCCATTTGAACACGCAATTGAAAATATTGGAGAACAACTGCCAAAAAACGCCTCTCAAAACAAAGTCCGTATAAAGTTTAAATAAATAAATGTTTCGGTGTAACGTTTGCGGGCACCAAACACCCATTGACAGTGATCCCATTGTGTTTACATTTTTGTGTTTGGCTTCTTGCTTTAGACAAACAACGTTTCGACTGGGACAGACGGTTGTGTTGGTTGTGTCGGTTGTGCGTATTTACTAAAAGAAAAACGGAAGACTGGGAACAAGTATATAGCGCTTAAAAGCAAATACGATGAATTGGTGTTAAAGTTAAACATTCCAAAGGTAGCGTGTTTTTATCTTTGGTACTGTGCATATGTGCTGCAGGAAAAACCCATGTTTCATACTCTGCGCTGTGCTTTCATTATGCAAACGTACTACAGCCGGTGACACGTAGCAAGTCAAACATAATGTTATTAATCTTAATAAAACGCATTATGTTGTGAACAGTGAACCTTATACAGGGTGTATAAAAAAATGTCCCAAATGTAAAGTTAAGACTTATGCCAAGTTTGGTTTTTCATTAACAAATTATGTTGCCGGGGGGTCATTCCTTTGCACTGATATTGGGAGGGCTTGCGCGCGAAAATGTGAAGCTGAAATCGAGATATTATTTAGCTGTCTAAAAGTAGGAAAGCTTTTTAATAAACTGTCAAAGTTTCAGGAAAATAATGCATACTGGGAGCACTGCGCGACCCCTAAAGCTGACGAATATTTCATTGCGCGCAGTGGATTAAATTCATCGTTGATTTTAGCGTGACCGATCTCATGCAAGGGTAGACAAATGAATAAATTAAAGCGAGAAACTAAAACATGCCGGATCATGAGTGCTGCTTAGTATAGGTACCGAACCAGACTTCCAAGCATGGGCTCTTAAAGTGCCTATATCACTCGTGGGGTTTTTATGCATTTGAAAAGAACGTAAAAAGTTACTTAATATATTAAAAAAGTTTTTTGATTTAGTACAATAATTTCGAAGATGCAAGCCTCTAAACTACCTGCGGTTCCTGAGTCCCAACCTTCTGGGTTTAAACACGGCTATTCAATTTGAAACTGCCCATTGTTTACAGGACCCTGGGACTCAGGAACGGCAGGTAGTTTAAAGGCTAGTATTTTCAAAATTATTGCACTAAATCAAAAAACGTTTTCTAATATATGAACTAACTTTTTACGTTCTTTTCAAATGCATGAAGATCCCACGAGTGATATAGGCACTTTAAAACTTGATATGGCGACGTATAGGAGTGGAACTCGCGTGTCTGTATGATTATTGACAGATTTCTTGTATTACAGTAATACGGTGTTTCAAAAACGATGCATTCAAGTATATTGTTATTTTATTTACATCTGCCTAGCACGGCAAATGCAGTTTCATGCACCCCAATTATTTCAACGAAATACTCTGTTTCAACTCAATATTATAACCGTGGTTTGACGATTTTGGCCGATCAAAGAAAAGCGCCTAAATATGTAGTCCTGTATGATTGCAATCGTTTACAAACACTCCTTCAGGAAGGCTGTTAATGACTTTGGATATGGTACTTTAGATATGGTAATATCACGAAAGGAGTGCAAAAACCCAAAAACCTGTGAAATGATATCCCTAAAACTGCCCACATTACCCGAACAACATTTTCAATTTCAAGAAACTTTATTCGCAGCTTAGTGCGGTGGGAACAGTACTACCCTGAAATCCATGCAGAGGCGTACAGGTTCGATTCCTGCGGGAGGATTTTTTTGCAACGTTTTTAATTTGATAAAGCTAAAAGAGCATAGCCATAGGGAGGGATTTAATCTTGCAAAAGGTGCTGATTGATACCCTTACAGTACGCGTGTCGTTCTCATATGCCAACGAAAGTTATCCCCAAATGACCGCAGTTATTAATGCAGATTGATTATTTAACTTATGATGAACTGTCTTCGCCAATTATTCCATCTTTATTCAAAGTTTTATTCAATTATATCTGGGAAAATGTAATAATCATATGATCATAGTTATATAAATTCTTCATCGTCAAGAAAGTCGTGCTTCAAAGCGTCATCAGCATTTGGTCTGGCATCAAGGTTGTGTTGGATCAACCATGACACAAAGCGTCGAGCATCACGTTCAGCAAGCATGCGTAAATTAACGGGATTACCGTTCACAATATTTGTCATTTGTTCGTAGCCAGTGGTACCAAATGGATGCTCGCCTTTGCTTAATATGAAGAATGAAAGCATACCGGCCACCTGCACATCAGATTTTTTTTTATACCAACCTTTGCTTGGACATTTTAATTGCTCATTTAAATGCTTAATTACTTCAGCAGGCATCCAGCCTGTTGTTCCTTTCGCATCAGTATGAAACGTAGTTTCTTCTTCATTAAGTACGCGGCTTATTCCAAAATCTGCTAATTTCATACAACCTCCAACGTCAACCAAGACATTTTTTGGTTTTAGATCTCTATGCAATATTCCTTCTCCGTGAAGAAATGCAAGTCCAGCAAAGATATCTTTGATCATTTTTCGCCCATGCCTTTGCAAATGATCAGTGGAAAGAGAACAAACGTACTTATCCAGTGTCTTTTCACAGAGATCAAGAATGAGGTACATAAATGTATTGTCCATTAGAAAATGGCGATAGCTCACTATAAATGGTGATTTCTTTGTGTTAATGAGAGAGAGGATATCTCTTTCATTTTCAGCTGTATCTTCACAGGCTTGTATCAACATTCGCTTTATAGCTACTTCACTGCCGTCTTGCAAAATCCCGACATAGACAAACGTCCCTGAAGAGCCACATCCAAGAGTGAAGGATTTTTGCGCAGAAAACCTCTTTATTGGTCCCAAACCCTACGGAGAATTCCAAACAACAATTTTTAAATTGCATAATTTCACAGACAAACCTGCTGCCTGTATAAGTAGCTGTTTTAATAAGAGCTGGTATGGTGAATCAACGTCTGGTAGAATTCAGGCTTAACATGTCGCTAAAGATACTTAGTCTAGTTAGCATGGCCAGAAATATGGGATATTTGAACTGCGCATACCTGCGATTGACTAAACAAATACGGCCGACGAACGATAATAAAGTATATATATAGGATGTGTTGTTAAAATGATCAAAATTTTGGCGTTTTTTTTTCACCGCTGTAGCATTTACTGCCATTTCTCGAATGCAACTACAGGCTGAGACTTGTTAATGAACCCAGTGATACACCATTTCCCAAGAATCTATAAATCTTTCTAACTTTTAATATTTTATTAATCCGGGAGGGGGTATGCGGTATATTCATACATTGATGTTTACATATCGAGGAACAACAGCGTACAAAAGAAATCCGTCGGGCATAAGACGAATATATCAATACACACTCCCCTCCCCATGCAATTAAGCTTCTATATAGCTGGGGTCCGGCTCACATTAACTAGTTTCAATAGAAGACGTTTACCGAATCAAACTGATATAATAACAACACGCCTGTTCTGGCGTTAACTCCGGCGCACGTGCCAGTCTTCAATATATATATAATAGAGCTTCTGGACATAAACAATACAGTTCATATTCGCATTTAGATGCCTTGCGAACCTAAATGTTCGATCGCGAAATTCAGAAGCACATCGCAGTGATAGAAGTTCAATTGTTCAAAAACGTAAATAAACCGCATGATACACTCGCTTTGTCTTATATTTGCCCTCGGAATTCGCGCTTATATGGTTAGTTAAATCTTCAATCCTGTGCAAACTACGACGTGTCAACGCGCCCATACACGACCACATCATCTTGTTAAACGGCGAAATAGCAGCGATATTATTAAAATAGGACCAGAATCTACATGTATTTAATATAAATTATTCTTACCCTAATTCAATCTAAACTTAATCGAACAGCATGAAAAGAACGGTTTATTTGTTCCCTTATGGAGGAATTGTCGTATCATGTGAGCGAAATCGAATCGCGCATCGGAAAATTAGCCAAAGCTCTGCACCACAAATCTTGGGAGATAAGACTGGGACGTAGAAAAATACGGTCACATACACATTTCAAATTGGCGCCGGAGTAATAAACCAAATGTTCATGACTTCAGGCCTTAGCCCAGAAACGTGAACGTTGCATGGGCTTGAAGCATTTCGCAATTTTGGTATCAATAAGAAGCCTAGGCTGCTTAGCAACCAAGTTATTTAAATATATGGGATCTTATTCTATTCTTATAAATTATAAATTACTCAGAGCGAAAATAAACTTTCTCCGTGAGAAAAATCGAGAAATAAATTAATTTAATTGGATTAATACGATTTATCTAATTTGATTAAATTAAATCAAATAAAATTGATTACCAAAAATAGGGAAACTAATTCATGTAATCACGTACTTAGCATAATAATATTACACTTCTACCTACCAATTTTCCTGACTCCAGTGCTTCTAACTCTTCAATTTTTTGGCGATGTTCAACTGACTTCCTTATTTGCAGCTGGAATATTTAGTTATAAAAAAACTATTAATTTATACACGAAATGTATAGTTTCCAGTGCAACTACCGATGCACGAGTGATTTTTATAGACTGCAAAATTCACACTCTTAAAGAAACTCATGCTCTGGCGCGTAATAATTCGTCACTGCACGAGAAATTATACTGCTAGAAACACATGCATGCAGCAACCCTCGTCATTTTAAGCCAAATAGGTGTAGTAGTTACATTATTGATGAATGACTCCAATGAGCCGACAGCTAATATTTTTATTGTTCGAAAAAGAATATATGTATAGTCTTAAAAGTAAAGTAAACATCGCCCGTTTTTCTGCTGCATTAAAGGCAGGCAATTTATAGACTCTTATACAGCTTATAAGTTATCGCTAAAAATTCAACCTCGAAAACATCAAAACAGAACAAAAACTTTAAGGAATGGACATGAAAATGTTATGCTTCGAATTTTTATATGCAGCAAATATTTGCATGCACTTTGCCGTAGACTTTAACCCTTTTGAAGTTAAAGCAATGGTGCACGTGATAACTTTTTGTAATCGGTTATGTACGTATTTGCAAAATGGCATACAAACTCATAATTCATTCCATAATTCATTCAGTAGGGGGCAAAAGTTTGAGTCCAGTCGTTGTAGAATTCCAGTATTAAATTCTGGCAGCGTATTCGAGTTAAGACATGCGTGCTAATGCTTCAGTACTGTAAACTATATTAATTGCACTGTTTTGGTCCTAATGATCTGAATTATAACAAAATAAAGTTCTCATTCCTTTACACTGCCTAAGATGGGTGGGAAAAAGGGCAAAGTGGTGGTGCACAAGGACAAACATTAAGTATTGAAGGATTCTTTCCTCGTAAGATCGCATAAAAAGTGAGAATTTCAAAAGGTGGTATGCATCTAACCTTGGAGAGGTTCCAAGAAACCAAATCCTACTCAAGCAAACATTTAGCTGCTTCGGTCATGCTGGGTTTGGCAATATTGAAAGATATAATAGGATCCTAATTAGAGAAAAGTATCATCCAATTCTTCAAGGACATGGAATTTCATCTAGTAGAAAGATGATCGCACGTCTAACCACATGATAATCACCCTAAGCACATGCACATCTTCTATGTCCCAGGAGTCTTTAAGAGGCAAACTCGTTCTGGTGATCTCGTTCTCCTGGCTTTCCAACTCAAATTCCAGATCTAAAACTTATGGAACACTTCTGGGACCGTTTCCACCGGAAAAGGGCGAGGCACAGACCCAGCAGCCACGATGACCTGAGGTAAGTGGTCAACGAATGCTGGCAAGGTATTGAACGTGCGACATTAAAAAACCTATGAAATTTATGCCAGCAAGAATAAAGGCCGTTTCAAGAGCAAAAAAGAGGGATACAAAGCACTGACATTTAATGCATATTTGCACATTAACATACGTTAAATGAATATCATAAGATCTCATAGTTGTTGTGCAGCGTGTATTTTTCAGTTTACTAATTTACTTTTTTCTAGTTCACTTATCGGTAAGGTTTTCTGTAGAAAATTAATGTATGCTGCTAAAACAATAAAATACAATCACTGGACTCAACTCAAACTTTTGCCTCCTACTGAACATGCAAATAAACTGCATGCATCTCAGCATATACGGAGTAAACAGAATAGACATCTACCCGTCTAAAACACTTGGTATAGCCAGCGCCCTGGTATATATAGCTTATACCCCCGTTTACACCACATTCGATTTAATGGCACGGCACGGCTAAAATGGGTACCCGTGCCCATTTCATCTGTGCTCGCCGTGCCAATAAATTGACTGTATTGTAAGCGGGGCTTATAGAATACGTATATTTTCTCTTTAATCGCTCATTCGTATCTGTATCAAGCAGTGTTGTTTATCGATATGTTTGCCGTCATAAATCTCTGGAAGTATATCATATATCGTCTCGACTTGTTGAGCTAGAATCGACTGGGATCTGTCAGACAGGGAGAAATTGTATATAATTATTACTATAAATCTCCAACCTCATTATGCGATAAGCCCCTATCGTTATTCCAATCAGACAAAAGCTGCTGTCTCTGTTCTGGTGTCCAGGAATTCGTAATGTTTGCGCATAATCCAAATTGCTGATTTTCTCTTTTCCATTCTTGTAAACGGCTCTCTATCTCGCATTTCCTTTTGAGAAAAAATTGCCGTTCAAATTCATTAAATGACGAGCTTTCCAGCAGAGTCGACAATTCGACAATTGTCTGACATTCACTTATTATTCTAGTTAAATCCATGCTCAGATTCTTTTAAAGTAAAATAAACAATAGTCAAAAGCCGAAAGCATTATTCAAAGCTTATTCTCTCTTCGTTGGCATGAGGTTAAAAAAACATATTCAAGTGCACGATGATGGATTTTCTGCTCGACGATCGATGCTTTAAGACCTGGAAAAGAAAGGAAGTTGATCGATAATTTGCGATTTTGCCAGCTTTAATTTTGTGATAATTGTTCCCTGCAATAACATGGAATTGTCATGGATGCTTTTTAAAAGAGCCGTGCATGGACAGTTGTGTAAAGTTTATTATATATATGCTGTGTCTGGAAAACATTTTGACTTTTGTACATAAAAATTATGAATAAAACTATGTACGCATAATTTGTTTTGCTTTAACTTATACGGTGCGGAATATATTAAATCCTGCGCGTCAACATAAAAAAATTTAATGTCGACAGTTTTTCCGGAGAACAATGGAGCGTTGAGCAACTATAACAACATAGAAACGTAATTCAAAGCAACACCAAAATTTTTACCCACTTAAATATGTTTCAAATATGGTGGTATAGCTAACTTATGAATATGCAAATTTTAATTTTATATACGTTTAATGAATATGGATTATATTGGACTGTTTGCTTCTCAATCTCGAACTTACGCAATGATTTATAGGATAAAAATACCATGTTTTAGAAGTATGTTATGGCCATCTGTAGCGGTTACAGGTTTACATTGTCTTTCGCCGATTTTTCTTTCTTATTAACAGCATTTCACGCAACATGCGCACATAATGTGTGGTTTTCATTCAGTAGTGTGTCGAGAACATGTCAAGGTGAGTGATGTGATGGAATGTTTTTATATGTGTGCAGTCAACAATGACCGATTTTAATAGAAAAAAAAAATTACATCCGGACTATATCTCGTAGGTGAAAAGGACTTGTTCACGACAACTGGATACTTATTTGGCAAATTAGCAGTATATACCTACGCTAGAAATTTGAAACGTTGATAAAAATCCCTGGAACCAATCGCATTGCTCGCATGAAATTGAGCTATGGAACACAATACAATTTTATTTATAACTCGAACACGTCGTCTGTTCTGGC